GCCTATTTGATGGTTGGTGTCTCCGATTGCTGGTCCTCCAGGGACGCAGCAAACCGCCGCTGATGTGAATCTGCAGTGAGACAAGACGGTGGGGGAGGTTGGTCCTCGGGGGTCGCAGCTGATCGCCGCAAGAGTCCGTATGGACAGAGAGGTGATGTGAAGAAGCAGTGTGCTATGCCACCTCCAGCCTCCACTCGGGCTGCGCTGAGTGCTGACCCAGCGCTGCAGCTGCTGACGTCTGGCTCGAACTTTGCCCACGTTCGCTAAGGAGCGACAGGGCCTGCGCCCGCTGCCCGACCTTCCCGCGCGCGCTGATCTCGGAAATGTAGCTGCAGCGTCTGGCTGCAGCGTCGCCTTCCACCCTGATCCCACTGCTGTAACAGATCACGTTGGGCTCCACTGCCGCCTGCCGCATTTTGCTGGGCAGCGACAGGGCCTGCTGCAGTGTCCACCCTTCTCGCACCTGCCCCAGCGCTGCAACCGATGACAGCGGGCTCCAACTTAGCTTCCCCCATTCCGGCAATAGCGCCAGAGCATGTTGCCATTCCCCGTTTTCTTGACACACTGATCCAGCGTCGTAGCTGACAGCGTTGCGCTCCAACTCAACTTCTGACACCCACTGAGCAGCGGCAGTGCGAGTTGCCATTGCCCACCCCTGGCGCGCGCGCTGCTCCCAGCGCTGTAGCTCGCACCTCGCGCCTCGTGCTCGAAGCCTCTGCAGCCCCCCGCCTGGGCCCGGGGGCGCGGCAGCGCCGTGCGTGAACGGGGGGTGGGCGGGGGGTGGCGTGCCCTGGGTGGAGTGAAGACGGAGCGTGCACGGGGGGGTGGCGAGTGACGGCCCTTGGCCGCCAGCGCCGGGATGCAAGAGTACCTCGAGCCCCCGAGGAAGGCTCCGGGCCCGTTGCCTCGGCAGCCCCCTCGTGCATACAGGGTCGCGTTGTGGTCCTCCAGGGTCGCCGCTAACCGCCGCTGATGTTTGTGAGCCTGTAGAGTGACCAACTCGGGGGTCGCAGCTGATCGCCGCTATGATCTCTCTTTAATTTCGTACTGGGATGCAAGAGTAACCTGAGCCCCCGTGGGGTGCCTCGTGCTCGTAGTCTCTGCTACCTCCCCGCGTGGAGTCCCTTGAGCTCCCGCGGGATGTCACGTGCTCGGAGCCTCTGCAATCCCCGCCTGGATCCAGAGCGACAGCCGCCCTGGGTTGAGGGGAGACGGAGCGTGCGCGGGGGGGGGCGAGTGCCGCCCTTGGCGGACAGCACCGGGATGCCAGAGTACCTTGAGCTCCCGCGGGAGCCCCGGGCCCGTAGTTCCTGCTGCCCCCCGCGTGCACCCAAGGTCGCGGCTGACCTCCGCTGAAAAGAAGGCGACACCGAACGGTCGGTCATTCGACCACATCTGGTGTGACTCAGGGGGGGCAATCTGCAGCCAGTGGACTGACTCACTGAGGGCGGTGCTGTCACCTCGAAGGCTGACGCATCCGTGGGGGTGTGTGGTGGTGCACCCGGGGGCGCCGCTGACCGCTGCTGTAGTGTGGGAAGGGGTGTGCAGCCAGTGGACTAACGCGCTGGGGGCGGTGCTGCCGCCTCGAAGCCGACGCCTCCGTGGGGGGGGATGTGGTGGTATCTCCAAGGAGCTGCTGACCGCTGCTGAGGAATGGAGAGGAGGCGCCGTGCCCGTAGTCTCAGCTGCCCCCCGCGTGGACCCAAGGGCGCGTACAACCGCCGCTCAGGGTTGGGTGGGGCTCGCCGCCGCACTGGGCAAAGTGAAGATGGAGGGGGGCGACGGGGCGGGCGCCCAGGGGCGTGGCTGCTGGACAGGAGCCCGCGGAGCCCATCGCAGCCAGTGCGGTGCCACGACGTGGGGCCGCAGCGGCTATTGTGGGGAGACGACCAGCCACTGTTTTTTGCGGCATGGTGATCCATGCCCTTGCCGCCGCTTCGACTTGCAAGGGCGCCGATGCCGCAGCCGGGCCCAGTCGACGCCAAGGCCCAGCGCGTCGCTGACGGCCCGTATGTCGCACTTGTGGCTGCGGAAGGACTCCAGGAAGCGGAGGCAGGTTTGCGGGTCGTGCCGAAGTGGGTCGAGCGCGCCTTTGCTGCCAGGCACGGCCTGCTGCTTGGCGAAGGCGTGCCAGGTGCCTGTGAACATTGCCCCCAGGGTGACTTGGAGTCGCCTTATCGCATCGCCAGGGAACTCCCCGGGAGGGTCCCACTGGACGGCGTCGATCTTTGCTTTGTGCAGCTGCTGTCCCGTGTCGGGGTCTGAGGGCTCTGGCCATTGGCGCGGCTCTGGCCATTGTCGCTGCCGCGTGTTCTGGCCGCAGGTCTCCGGCGAACCGGCCCCGATGTCCTGGACAGAGGGCTCGCAGTCTGTTCGCGACAATTCCGGTTGCACGCCTGGCGGGGCCCTGCGGAGAGATGCGGGCCGCATGGTTGGCCGCCAGGCAGGGGCCGGATCGCCTCCGGCAGCCCGGGCGGACGCTGCCCTGGGGTGTGCGGGGAGAGGCCCCTTTCGGTGGCGTTCGCCTTCGGGCCTGTGCCCGCCGTCGCTCACGGGCGCGCCCCCTCGGTCGACGCGAGACTCTCGCGGGTCTCGGGGGTGCCGGTGGTCGTGCCAGGTGCGTGCACGTACGGCGACGCCGTTTCCGTGGCCAGAACACAAAGTTCTTTGTCGGGCGTGCCCTGGGCGTCCGGGGGGAACGCCTGAGGTTCGCCGTCCGCTAGAGTGGGTTCGCTGGCAGGGGAAGGAGGGCGAATCGGCGCGAAGGGGTTTCTCCCGACGAGCCGGCGGATGGCTTCGATGTCCTGCGTCTGGGCGGCTGGTCCGTGGCCCCCCTGTTGGGTCTGTGGCGTTCCCAGAGGACTGCTGACGGTCTGCCTGTCTTGTGGAGAAGGTGGGGGTGGCGCGGTGTGGCAGGCGAGCCCCTGCTGGTCCAAGATCCCGTTTCGCGGACTGTTGCAGCTGCCGTCCGCACTTTCGGGGGCCAAGCCCTGTCTACCCAGTTCTGCTTCAGGGACACGGGTGACGGCTTGTGCCTCTTCCGCCCCTTCAAGGGCACCCGCCGCTTCAGGCCCCCGATACTCCGCGTCCTCCGCCGCTTCCGCCCATTCCGCCGCGGCCCCCCTCTTCTTTTCCTTGCCATGCTGCTGCTGCTGAGGGAGCAAGGGTACCTCCTTGTGACCTTCGGAGGGGGTCTTGAGGTGTCGTGGGGCCCTCGTCACCAGGGGTGCCGCTGACGGCCGTCTGAGCTGTTATGGGTCTCTGTTCGCCAGGGTTGCCGCTGGCTGCCGCAAGAGCGCTTGAAGACTCTTCGCCTGTGTCTTCTTGCCCTGTCTGCGGAACTGTTGTGGGTCTCTGTTCGCCAGGGTTGCCGCTGGCTGCCGCAAGAGTGCCTGAAGACTCTTCGCCTGTGTCTTCTTGCCCAGTCTGTTGGCCGTCAGGGGTGCCTGGAAGGGCGTCAGGGAGCGGGGGTACCTCCTTCCGCCCCGTTCCGTTCCCTTCCCCTGTGTTCTTCCGCTGCTGCGGCACCTGTAGCTGCTGCTGCGGCTGTGGTTGGGGGTGCTGCCGCTGTTGCTGCCGCTGCTGCGGCTGCAGCTGCTGCTGCTGCAGCTGCTGGGTTCTGCTGCTGCTGCTGCTGCTGCTGCGGCTGTTGCTGCTGCTGCTGCTGCGGCTGTTGCTGCTGCGGCTGCTGCTGTTGCTGCTGTTGCAGCTGCAGTTGCAGCAGCTGCGGCTGCGGCTGCAGGTACCGCTGCTGCGGCTGCTGCTGCTATCGCTGCTGCTGCGGCTGTTGTTGCTGCTGCTGTCGCTGCTGCCGCTGCTGCTGCTGCTGCTCCTGCAGCTGCAGCTCCTGCTGCTGCTGCGGCGGCGCCAGCTGCGGCGGGCCCCAAGGCGGCCGCGCGGGCCACGGCGGCCGCGGCGCCGGCCGCGTGGCCCGCGGCCGCCGCGGCGGCCGCCTCCGCCACGGCGGCGGCGGCGGCAGCCGCGGCGCCGGCGGCCGCAGGGGCGGCGGCGGCGGCGCCGGCGCCCAGCCCGCGGCGCCGGCCCCGGCGGCGCCATCGGCGCAGGCGGCGCCCGAGGCGCCGCGGCCCCGCGGCCGCCCAGCCCGCAGCGCCGGCCCCAGCCGCGCCCGCGGCGCCGGCGGCGCCAGCGGCGCCGGCCCCAGCGGCGCCCGCGGCGCCAGCGGCACCAGCGGCGCCGGCGGCGCCCGCGGCGGCGCGCTGGCGGCGGCGGCGGCGGGCTGCGGGCGACTCGAATGGCGTCGCCTGCCCGCCGGGTGACCAAAGCCACCCTCGCCAGGCAGCGTCCTGCGGCAGTGCCCCGCCGCGGCCGCCGTCTCCATGCCAGTGAGCTGCCGCGGCAGCCGCACCCGCCCACGGATCGGTCGCCTGCAGCGGGCCCGCGGTGCGCCAGCGGCGACTGTGCCACGACATAGCGGCCGACGCGGCCGCCGCGGCCGCCGCGAGAGCGCCCTGCTGCTCTGGACTCGAGCCAGAGCGGCTTGAGCCAGGCTGCGGAACTGGTGGGGTTACGCGAAGCGTCTAGAATTTCCCCATCCCCAGCCCGGGTAAGCATCGTGTACCCCATCACCAGAGTCAGGAGGGACGAAAGCACACAGACATAATGAATCGTCGATCCCCAAGAGAATGTGGGAAACTACGGGGGGTGGGGGGGAAGACGAAAGTCAAGAAAATATGAAAGCATGTGGGGAATCTTGGGATTTGTCTATATCTATTTGTGCCCCTGGGCCCCTACACAGAGGTGGCACGAAAGCGAAAGCGAGGGTTAGAGAACATGGGGGTTAGTAGCGAATCCGCTCAGGGGGGGAACCATCGACCTGGAATCGGCGATGCATCGCCGACAGGTCTTCGATCGGCCCCGACAGCGACTCCGCACTTTCCTGGGATGGGGTGGGCTGTCAGGCCCCCATCGGCGATGAATGGGTGATTCGGGGTAGATGCAGCCCCCCCTGAGCCCACCCCCCCCCTGACGTTGCCCCCGAAAGGGGAGCACTGGGGCAAGTGGTGTCCAGAGACCGGCAGCTGGACCTCGCCGAGAGCTCCAAAACGGAAGCAGCCCAATAATCAGATTGACCACGCAGTCGCCCATCGTGCAGCCCCCATGGAATCGCCTCCTGGTGAGGGGGGCGAGCGGAAGGGCAGCTTTGTCCAAATCCGCTGCTCTGGGCACCTCAACAGCTGTTTTTCCAGCCGTCCAGGCCTCCGTCGTCCTCTCGCCTCCGGTGCAAGGCGGTGAGCAAGCGGCGCTCCGTCCAGAGCCCGAAATGTGGCATAGCTAAGGGCCGAGAAATACTGCGCACAATGTTCCCCCCCTTCTGTTCTCTCACCATCTCCTCTCGTCCTGGAAAAGGGAAACGGAAGGGGCAGCGAGACAGAAAAGGGGGAGAACACTTCGCAGCGAGCTTGCATTTCTGGCCCCTCCCCACAGAGCCGCCAGGTCCAAAATCCGAGCATGCAACGCCAGAAGTTTGAGCAAAGCGGCTCGACAATTGGACCTGGAGCCCCTCTGGGCTAATAGTGCGCAGCGTCGCCTCGGCATGAAGGAAAATCGTGATCCACCACAAGGTGGGGGTGACCCTGAGGCGAGGCATGACTTCGATCCGTTGGTGCACCGAACTGCCGCAAACAGATGCCTCCCACATGCCCCACCTATCGGCAACCATCGGGAGCTGCCGGCGGCTGGGGGGCACCTGTTTTGGGCGGTTCAGTGCAAAAGCCGATCGAACTCCCCCCCCCAGGGCACACTCCCCCTTTGCGGGATCCCAAGAAAAGGGTCATGATGGAACTGGGTCCGGGGGCGTCCAAGAGAAGGGGGGCGCACATCACGGCTGGCGGCATGTGCGCGGCCCGGGGGGGGGGGGCCAGGGACGTAATGAAATAAGAAGAGGCGCCATGAAATCCAAGGAGATATCAGCGCCATGAAACCTGGTAGGATAACTATCACGGCACCCGCCATGATACCCTCCCGCCTCGAATGAGGTCGGGCGTGTCCTCTTACAGGCGGAGTTTTGGAAGAAAAATGAAGCATAATCAAAACATGCAAACCTAATCAGAAGTAGTTGAAGAAAAACATAAAATAATCAAATAAATTCGCAACAATAGCCAGGAATAGTCAAATAATCGTCCCCAGGCTATTTTTCGCCTATCTTTGAATGCTCCTCTTGTAGAGGGACAAGCCCAGCTTGAGCCTAGAATAATAGGACACAACATCAACATCAACGTCCAGAGGTTCACGCCGATTTCTCGGGTCGGCGCTGAACCCCCCTCCCCTGGCGCGCGAAGCGCGCCAAGGGCAGCGCCAGCGGCGCCGCTATGGGGCCCAATGCTGACCCAAGAAATCCACGTGAACCACTGCACATTTATGTTAATGTAACTCCTTGCTGTTCTACTTTTCATGGAAGGTCGCCGCAGCGCTGCCGGTGCGCCGGAAGGTCTCAACCCACTTGAACTCCCTGCCGCCCGCGCCCGCCTTCGGCTACACGCAAATGACCCTATGCAAAAGGGACCTTTGGTGGGCGGCTTGCCGAACATTGCATGCGATAGGGCAGCAACGGCTCGCGCCCCCTGAAAACCGCGCACCAAGGTCACCCCAGCGAAGGGTAACTCTCACGCGCAGCCGGGTCTCCTCGTTGCGGCATCCGCCAGCGCCCTGGTGGAGCAGTAAGTCTACGCACCGCTCGTACTCCCCGCGCAGGTAAGCCAGGCCGAGGAGGTCGCTGCGCACGCCCGCCTTCCCAAACTCCCGACGTCGTGTTTTCCAGTTCTTCCAAACCGTCCTGTGGTGTTGGGTCCTCGTTTTGAAGAGGCAGCGCCCCGCGTCCGCTCCTTCCTCCCGTTGTCCCCCGTCCTCCCTCCTCTCACCCTTGCCTCTGCCCTCCGCATGCACATTTCGGCACACCCTCACACGTTTTGTGGCCCACGGGCAGTTCTACCGAAAACCCCAGTGGCATGGTTCGCACGCGCTGCCCCGCCCATTCGGTACACCCCTCATACGTTTCGTGGCCCCACGTGGAACGCAGGGTTCGCATGCGTCCCCCCGACCACTTCGTCACACCCCTCACACGTTTCGAACCCCCACAGGAACTCCACCGAAGGCTCTTGTGGCAGGGTTCGCACGCGTTCTCCGCCCATTCTGGCACACCCCTCACGCTTTGTGTGTGGCCCCACAATCCAAGATGGCTCCAGGAGGACCTCAGAAACCCCAAGATAGCCTCCAAGATGGCTCAAGATCATTCAAAATGGCTCAGGATAGCTTCCGACGCGCATCCAAGAGGCCTCAAAACGGCCCCAAGACGGTTTCAAGAACCCTCCGACCTCTGCAAGGAGCCCCCCAAGGGGCACAAATGGCTCCCAAACCTAAAGACACTTGATGATGTTTTGCCTTCGCTTCCGATGGGCCTCGGAGGCCTCAGCATGGCCCCGAGATGGCCCACGAGAGCCCCAAGAGGGACCCAAGATGGCTCCAAGACGGCCCCAAGAGCGCCGCACAACTAAATTTACGCCCCCCTCTGTGAACATTGAGCCTGGCATTACTCCAAGAGGCCTGCCAGACTCCCCCAAGAGTCCCAAAACGGCCCCTACCCCCCCCCCAGAGAGCCCCAAGAGTGCCCCAAGAGGCTCCGCGAGGACCCCAAGAGAGACCCAAAATGGCTCCAAGAGACCTCCGACAAAAACCACTTCCAAGGCGGTTGTTACACTGCATTCTTCTACACTTCCCTGACCAAGGCAAAAGCGTCAAGACTCTTTCCCAACCCTCCTGCGTTGGGTGCTCGTTTTGAATAGAGCATTGCAGTCGCGACCCGCCTCTCCCGCCTCCCTCCTCCCTTCTCCTTCCCGCCCCCTCTCCCTTCTCTCCTGCCCCTCCCCTGGGGGGCTGCGATCTGCGACACTGTCGCAACTTTCGAGGGCTGCTAGGGGGCCAGCATAGTGGGCACTCGCCGCAAATTCAGATCAGACCTCGCCATCCCTAGGGGGGCCGCGATCTGCGAACATGTCGCCACTTTCGAGGGCTGCTGGGGGGCCTGCATAGTGGGTACTCGCCGCAGATACAGATTAGACCTCGCCATCCCGGGGGGCTGCGATCTGCGAAACTGTCGCCACTTTCGAGGGCTGCCCGGGGGGCCAGCATAGTGTGTACTCGCCGCAGATCCAGGTTAGACGTCGCCATCCTTGGGGGGCTGCGATCTGCGAACATGTCGCCACTTTCGAGGGCTGCTGGGGGACCACTCGCCGTAGATTCAGATTGGACCTCGCCATCCCTGGGGGGGCTGCGATCTGCGAAACTGTCGCCACGTTCGAAGGCTGTTTGGGGGGGCCAGCATCGTGGGTACTCGCCGCATATTCAAATTAGACCTCGCCGTTCCTGGGGGGGCCCTGGAGGGCTGCGATCTGTGAAACTGTTGCCACTTTCGAGGGCTGCTGGGGGAGCAACATAGTGGGCACTCGCCGCATATTCAGATTCCACCTCGCCATCCCTGGGTGGCTGCGATCTGTGAAAACTTCGCCACTTTCGAGGGCTGCTTGGAGGCCTGCATAGTGGGCACTCGCCGCAGATTAGCCAGCTACTGAAAACAACGGTACTCTTCTGTTTCCTCCCACCACTTTCATCGTCACCCTATTCCCCCTGTCACCTTCTCCATGCTGCTGTTGCCGCGATGGCTCCCCGCCCCCACAATTCCGTCATTCTCCTGCCCGTCGTTCCCGCCCCCGTTCTTCTCCAAGCCTGGGGCCCCAATCCTCGTCCTGTCGATCGCTGTCCTGTGAGTCGTGCAACGTGCGCGCATCCAATGTAGCTTGCACAACATATCGCCGCGCCTGCACTGTCGTTGTTCCTGCCAATGTTGGCCTACATCTCTTGACACTCGATGCAAATGGGTTGGGTACGTCGCAGAGTAATTGAACCTGTTTTGTCGCTTTCGACCTTCGAGGGCTGTTTTCAGGTGCTGCCGAAAATGTCCCTTGCCGAAGGTGTACCCAGGCCTTCCGGGGAGGCGCCAGGGGCCTTCGGCTCACCCCTGACGGTGCTCACAAGGTTCTGGGGGCTCCCAAATGGCGCGAGAAACTGGGGGGCACTTTGGGCCAAGACCAACTCTGGCCACCTCCGACATTTGTGGGCTCTGGGGCCACCAAGAATGGAGTCCGGGCGAAAAACTGGCCGCGGGGGAGACCCACGGATTTAAAAACATCACATCGTCGGATATCTGGGGTCGTGAGTTCCCGTCCCGACGAATTCAGGGCGCAGGGCGACGTCTGCACTCCCTGGAGGTTCAGAAGTGAAAGGTGTCTACAAGTCGACATGGGCTTGCGCCCTTCCAACGTCTGAGCAGACAGGGGTGGGGGGTGTCACCCTGAGCTTCCTTATGAAATCCAGCAGGGCGACGTGTTTCTATGCTGACGACGCCTTGCCGAATCGCTGCATGCCCACGTAGTTGACAAAACCGCGCCGCCTCAACGATCGCAATGCTTGCCGCACGCGCCTCGCGCTGGCCCTCATCGGAGGTTGCCAGAGGCGGTCCTGGCCCGAGGTGCCACCAGCTTTTCGCGCCACTTCGGACCCTCCTGGGGCCCTCCAGGCCTCGTGAAGGCTCCCTGGAACTAGAGGGGAAGAAGACGGGCACCATGACCAAGACTGAACGCGGAAACGTAGTATCGATCTTGGTCACCGTCGATCTTGTTCAGCGTCAACTCGTGGACCATCCTCGCGAATGGCCGACGGCCGATGTGGACCATGACCAAGATCTCGACAATATTCCACCACATTTCGGCCATGGCCTCCGCGTTTCTTCCCTCGAGGGGAAGCTTGGGCCACCCTGGGCCTTACCTCTGGCAACTTAAGGCGAAACCGGGACAGGGACAAAATCGCACCAGCACAGCACCGGGGATCTCTGAAATCCAGCGGTGCTGGAAGATTGATCGGGCGGCGTGGCGTCCTCAGAGCGTGAAGCGCTCTGCGAACGCTCGGCAACGCTCTGGAAAGAGTTACCCCTGTCCTGGCCCCGCCCGGCGGCTCCCGGCCTCACGCCGCGCACCCGCAGGAGGAAGCGGTTCCCGGCCAGCATGCCCGGGGAGAGGGGCGCGTCGCAGGGGCGCAAGCCCAGGGCTCGCAGCTGCGGCAGCGTGCCCGCCGCTTCCAGGAGCGCGGCCTCGGAGACCAGCTCTGGAGACACCTGGGCTTACAGCCAGCGGGTTGCCACGAAGCGGGTTCCACAAACCCTGGACCAGATCAGCCTGGCGACGGACCCCATCGTGTGCAGTTGTGAGTGCCGCGTGTTGTGGGCACCGCTCTCGGTGGCGCTCCCTTTGGGGCCACGAAGCGTGTGAGGAGTGTGCCGACATGGGGCGGGGGGACGTATGCGAATGCAGCCACTGGGGCCTTCGGTGGAGCTCCCTGTGGGGCCATGAAGGGTGTGATGAGTGTGCCGACATGTAGCGCGGGGGCGCGGGCGAACCCTGCCACTGGGGCCTTCGGTGGGGCTTCTCTGGGGCCGCTAAGCATGTCAGGGGTGTGCGGACTGGGTGGGGCGGACGCATGCGAACCCTGCCACTGGGGCTTTCGGAGGAGCTCCGTATGGGGCCACGAAACGTGTGAGGGGTGTGCCGAAATGGTGCGGGGGATGCATGCAAACCCTGCCACTGAGGCCTTCGGTGGAGCTCCCTATGGGGCCACGAAGCGCGTGCGGGGACGCATGCGAACCCTGCCACTGGGGCCTTCGGTGGTGCTCCCTGTGGGGCTTCGAAACGTGTGAGGGGTGTGCCGAAGTGGGGTGGGGGAACGCTTGCGAACCCTGCCACAGGGCCTTCGGAGGAGCTCTTGATGGGGCCAAGAAACATTTGAGGTGTGTGCCGAAATTGTGCGGGGGGACCCATGTGAACCCTGCCACTGGAGCCTTCGGAGGAGCTCCTTAGTTATGACACGAAGCGTGTAAGGGGTGTGCCGAAATGGAGCGGGGGGGCGCGTGCGAATCCTGCCACTGGGGCCTTCGGTGGAGCTCCCGTTGGCCACGGGGTCCCATGCGAACCTTGCCACTGGGGACTTCGGTGGAGCTACCTATGGGGCCGCAAAGCGTGTGTAGGGTATGCTGGACTTCGGCGGAGCTGCCTATTGGGCCACGAAGCGTGTGAGGGGGCGCATGTGAACCCTGCCACTGGGGCCTTCGGTGGAGCTACCTATGGGGCCGCAAAGCGTGTGTAGGGTATGCTGGACTTCGGCGGAGCTGCCTATTGGGCCACGAAGCGTGTGAGGGGGCGCATGTGAACCCTGCCACTGGGGCCTTCGGTGGAGCTCCCTATGGGGCCACGAACGTGTGAGGGGTGTGCCGAAATGGAGCGGGGGGGCGCGTGCGAAGCCTGCCACTGTGGCCTTCAGTGGAGCTCCCATTAGGGGCCACGAAACGTGTGAGGGGGTTGCCGAAATGGTGCGGGGGACGCATGCTAACCCTGCTACCAAGAACCTTCGGTGTGTATCTCCCTGTGTGACCACGAAGCGTGTGAGGGGTGCGCCGACATGGGGCGAGGGAGCGCATGCAAGCACTGCCAATGGGGCCTTCGGTAGAGCTCCCTATGGGGCCACGAAGCGTGAGGGATGTGCCGAAACAGAGACATGCGCAGGGCAGCAGCAAATGATGTGAGGAGGGAGGAAGATAATGGGAGGGAAGGGTGGGAAGTGAGAAACGCGGGACGCTGTCTCCTCAGCAAGAGGACCCAATACCACAAGATGGCTGCCGAAAATCTTGCCATCCTCTGTCGGCGCACCTTCTGCTGCCGCCGCCTTCCGCCAGCCCCCCGCCGGCGCAGTCCCGCCCCCGTTGGACCTCCGCTGGCTCCCGCCCTGCCGCCGAGGAGCAGCCGGCGCCTCCCTCGCCCTCGAGGGCGAGGGACCTTCCCTTGCCGTCGCTCGGACGTCCATTTCCCGTGCATTCTTCGGTTTCGTGCGTGTTTTTTTTTTTTTTGCTCGATGGTCCAGGATGGTCCTCCATGGTCTCTGCCGAGGCAAAAAGCACACGTCCGAGCGATGCCAAGTTCCTGGAGCGCCGAAGCGGCAGCGGGCGAGGCGCTCCTGGCCACGGCGAGCCCCGGCCACGGGCGGGCCTCCCCGGGGAGCGGCCCCGACGGCCGGGGCCCCGCCCGGCGCCCCCCCCCCCGGGTGGCCCTCACGTCAGCGTCTCGGCGGTGCGCTCGGCGGCCCGGCGGCCCTGCGCGGCGGCCTGGGCGGGCCGCCGGCGCTGCACCGCGCGCGCTGGCGAGGGCGCTCACGAGCGGCCTCCGTTTTGCACGTGCAGCCGGCGCGGGAGGTCTGCGCCATCGGCCCAGTTGCGTCGCGCACCGGATGCAGGGAGGCGGCGAGACTGGTGCAGAGACGTGGGCCGAGGCGTGTGCTCAGCCAACGCGCGCAGGGAAACGAACGGCTCGCGCCCGCGACATTTGTCATCGCTCTCCTCAGTGCATGTCCGCCACCGAGGTTGCGGCGGTTGGCGTGTGTCGGGGTCTTGTTTTTCTTACTGATTTTGTTAGATCCGCTTCTTGCGAAGCCGTAGCAGCCCGCCAAGCCCCCCATGACGCATCGAATCCAACACGCGTTCACCTTCTTGACTGAGTCATTAGAAACCTCCCAGATGGGGTCGGAGTAGATAGTGTCGGAGGATGGCGCCGCATCGGCAATGCATCGCCGACGCATCGCGGATGCATCGCCGCCGTCGGCGACCCGCCGGCGCCGTCGGCGTGGAGTAAATCGGGCTCCACATCGAGCAGCATCGCCGATGCATCGGCGATGCGGCGCGATCCTCCGACCCAATCTTGGCCCAGGGCCATGGCGTGCTCTCCGCCCGCGCAGGAAGCTTCTCCTCAAAATAGCATCCGGGCAGGCGCTCCCACGAAAACTACACCCCCAGAGCGCCCCCGCCGCCCTCGCCCGAGCGCTCGGCCCGAGCGCGGTGGCGTTTTCGCGCGGCTCGCCTGTTTCGTCAACTCTCTCCAGCTTCGCATTCCGGCCTCAAGGACTTCCTCTTCACTGTGCACCTCTTCGGCACTCGCGCCCACGGACTACACGTTCTGCACGTGGTCTCTTTCCCCCGCCGCGCGTCCCTCACTCCCACAGGTTCTGCCTAGTGCCGCACTTCGCTTCGGAAGCGCTCCTCCATCGCTCGAACGCTGCTTGAATCAAGTGGCCGCGGACCAAAAAAGTTGAATCAACGTAGTCGCCGCCTTCTTCCTGGTCCTCTTCTTGGTACTCCTTCGTCGAAGTCCCAGGGCACCGTGACTTCCTGCGTCGTAATCGCGAGGGAGTCCTTGATGCCCGCGAACCCGAAGCTGCGCGCTGGCACCCGGCACGCCTGCGCCAGCGAGTCCAGAGCCTCGAGGGTGTCGACCCCCCGCTTGTGCAGGGTGAACTTGAGGAAACTGCCCTGCTTGGCTTCACGATGATGGGCCGGTTTTCCACCACCACTACCATAGGTAGGAGGAGGAGAGGAGGCGGAGGAGGAGGCGGAGGAGGAGGAGGCGGAGGAGGAGGAGGAGGAGGAGGAGGAGCAGGAGGAGGAGGAGGAGGAGGAGGAGGAGGAGGAGGAGGAGGAGGAGGAGGACCTCCCCATCCTCCCTTCTCCCCGTCCTCACTCTGGTAGTGGTGGTGGAAAATTGACCCATCACGCGAGGATACAGAGGCAGCCCCTGTGGCGGGGGGTTCCAGCGGCAAGGGGGCTCGGCGGCGCGCCGAAAGGGGTCTGTCTCGAAGGGGGTGGCCTTCAGAGAAGGCATGGGGGCTTCGTCGAGACCCCCTCCTCCTCCTCCTCCTCCTCTTCCTCCTCCTCCTCCTCCTCCTCCTCCTCCTCCTCCTCGCTTCCTTGACTGCGGGAGACATCGACGCGAGGGGCTGTCTGAGCCTTCCCTCTTGCCTTTCGATCCCCCCAATGGGGGCTGCTGCTGTCCGCAGGAGGCATCGATACACCACCACCGTGCCTGGGCAACCGTGGTGGTGTACGGATGCCGTCTGCGCACATGCTGGGCCCTCAAAGCCAGAAAGCCTGTTGGCCCGGGTAAGCGACGGCGGCAGGTTGCTGCGGGAGCTCGCGCACCCGGAAGTCCTCTGGGCTGGCCTTGATCGTGCCCCCCAGCGGGCGCAAGCCTGCTGCTGCGAACGCCACGATGCCGCAGTCCGCCTCGCCGTGGCTCTTGCGAAAGGGGGCTGGCGGTCGCAGGGCTCAAGCTCCAAATTTGCGTGGGCCGTCTATGGCGGGTTCACGTCACGATGACGTCGGCGTTGGTTTCTGACACCGCGCGGGTCGTGCAACCTCGAACGATCGCGGCTTTCCGACAACGCAGATCGTTCGATATCGGCCGATGCTGGGCCACTGGCAGCATTCAACTTCGAACGCCAACGCTGCGTCGACGCAGCGCGAACCTGCCGTGCAACACCCCTGTCACTGCACCGACCTTGCAGACGGGCTGTAGCGGATTTTTGCGCGGATTTGTCGATGCCGAACCCAGAAGCGGCGAGCGAAAAACGAAGTGAATTTCACGTGGATTTTTGTTTAGTCTTCATTCCTGGCAAACAACAAATCCGCGCGAAATTCACTTCGAAATCTGGAACGAAATTCTCCAGGACAATCTGGGCCCACATCCTAGTCTTTCCGAACGAAATCCGCTCTGCGATGCTGGCGCCATGACCCCTGGGGACGAAAACGAACGCCTGCGAAGCCGAGTCGGGCGCCTCCCGAGGCCGAGGAGCCGTGCCTGCGTGCCCGCACGTGAGGTCCTGGGAAGCTCTGGCCTTGCCTCTCTGCTGGCCGACTTGCCCACCCAGGCTGGGATGCATGTGCCTGATTCCTCGGGCTTCGCGGGGCCTGTCCCCACCTGGGACTGAGATACGGTGAGGGCATTGGATAGGCAACCAGTGGATAAGGAATCCAGGGTCTGGAAGCCCACGGAGCTTTGATTATGGAGTGGCCATGGGGTATCACCGCCGCCCTCACCGGATGAGGAATTCTCCAGGGTCTTAAGCCTCCGAGGCACGTTCCTTAACGAGCGCCCCCCCCCGTACCATGGCCAAGTGGGGGTGGGGACAGGTGAAACGATGCTGAGCTCAGCATACCCGCAAAGGCGTGGCTGGAACCCGCCCACGGGGCTCCGCGTCCGAGCCGGCCCTCCAAGCGAATCGCAGAGAGCCCCGCTTTCAAAACAGGGCCGTGCGAGCCCAGACCTCCGATGTCGTGCTTGTATCAATGTTGGCAGAACGCGCAAAGGGGTTGGTGCGAGGGGGGTGGACCTGCAAGAAGGCGGGGGCATCTAAGAAGGCAAGGAGTCTTCTTAGAAGACCTCCCAGCTTCTAGGATGGCTTCTTGAAAGCCCCTCAGCCCTTCCTAAGAAGGCCTCTGTTTTCTACGAAGCCTCTCGCCTTCTTAAAAGACCGCGCCCCCCCCGCGCCGACCTCCTTGTGCGCGCCCCGCCGATACAACAACGCGCGGTCCCCAGAAGTCTCGACTCCTTACCCAGAGCTGTTTTGTGGCCCGGGGCTAGCTTTTGACGGCCACGGGGCCCGCAAACGGCCCCCAAAGGCAGAAACTTGCGACAGATACCTGCCTCAACTTTTCAAGACGCTGGAATCGGCGGCGAGCGAGGGGGGGACGTGAGAAGGGGAAGGCCTTCTCAGAAGACGGCGGGACTTCTCAGAAGCCCTCGCGCCGTCCGGGAAGCATTGTGTGTCTTCGGGGAAGGCTTAGAAAACTTCTCAGAAGGCTGGGGGATTTCCGGGCTTTCTGAGAAAACCCGCCCCCTGTCACTTCCCCCCCGGGCGTGCCGCCGACGGAATGCTGCGAGTACGTCCGCGGTGCCTCGTCTGCGATGCCGCGCGCATCGCAGCAGTCCATGGCTCCGCCCCGGCGCCGCAGGGCCTGACCAGGGCCCCCCCGCCACCGTGGCCCACCCGCGGCTGCTGGCATGACCGCGCCCGCGCATTTTCGTTGTTGTTGCTGCTGCTGTTGTTGTTGTTGTTGTTGTTGTTGTTGTTGCTGTTGCTGTTGTCATTGTCGTTGTAGTTGTGGTTATGGTTGTGGCTGTGGTTGTGGATGTTGAACTCTCATTTCTGGAGAATAGTTATTGTTGATCCCCCCCGTCCGGTGCACATTGTTTTTTCTCGATTGAAATGCCCATTCCGGGGCTCGCACCCGGTTTTTTGTAGGGAAAGTCTTGAGGGTCAAACTGTGTCGTTAGCCCCCAAGTTACATCAACAACGGCTCCCCCCTGAGACTTCCTCACAATTTAGCCTGGGCCCCCGCTCCCGCCCGAAACTTCCTTGCACTTTATTCAGGAATCGCGGTCTCGCTTGGGACTTCCTTACAACATATTCAGGAATCGCTCTTCCGGCGCTCTGGAGTCGCGCTCTCGCTGGAGACTTGCTTGCAATTTACTGAAGAATAGCGTCCTTGCGTTGGAAATTCTTGCAATTTATTCAAGCGCCGCGCTCCCGACACCCGCTCACGTTTAGGACTCCCTCACAGATTACCATAAAATCGGGATCTCGCTGCCCTTCGTGGCCCCGTTGCAGCCCTTTGTGGCCCCCTCGCTTTCTTTCGTGGCCCCGTTGCAGCTCTTCGTGGCCCCGTTGCAGCCCCTCGTGGCCTCCTCGCTGCCCTTCGTGGCCCCGTTGCAGCCCTTCGTGGCCCCCTCGCTTTGTTTCGTGGCCCAGTTGCAGCCCTTCGTGGCCCCTCGCTTTGTTTCGTGGCCCCGTTGCAGCCCTTCGTGGCCCCGTTGCAGCCCCTCGTGGCCTCCTCGCAGCCCTTCGTGGCCCCGTTGCAGCCCTTCGTGGCCCCCTCGCTTTGTTTCGTGGCCCAGTTGCAGCCCTTCGTGGCCCCCTCGCTTTGTTTCGTGGCCCCGTCGCAGCCCTTCGTGGCCCCGCTGTCGCCCTTCGTGGCCCCCTCGCTGCCCTTCGTGGCCCCGTTGCTGCCCTCAGTGGCCCCGTTCTTGCCCTCCGCGGCCCAGTATTACCGTATGCCCTTCGTGGCCCCCGTTCGTTCGCGCCCGTTGTGGTCCCATGTGCATGCGCTTCGTGGCCCCGCTGTCGCCGATTGTGGCCCCCTCACTCTCCTACGTGGCCCAGTTGTTACATTCAGTGGCTCCGTCGTTGCCTTCAGTGGTCCCGCATGATCTGCCCTTCGTGGCCCCCGATCGTTCGCGCCCGTCGTGGCCCCATGCGCATGCCCTTCGTGGCCCCGTTGTCGCCCTTTGTGGCCCCGTCGCTGCCCTCAGTGGCCCCGCTGTCGCCCTTCGTGGCCCCCTCGCTGCCCTTCGTGGCCCCGTTGCTGCCCTCAGTGGCCCCGTCCTTGCCCTCCGCGGCCAAGTATACGTATGCCCTTCGTGGCCCCCGCTCGTTCGCCCTCTTCGTGGCCCCATACGCATTCCCTTCGTGTCCCCGCTGTCGCCCTTCGTGGCTTACTTCGTGTCCTTGTGGCCGTGCTGTCGTTCGCTTTCGCTCTCGTTTTCGCTCGTCGTGCTCGTCGCCGTCGTCGTCGTCGCCGTCGCCGTCGCCGTCGCCGTCGCCGTCGCCGTCGCCGTCGCCGTCTCCGTCGTCGTCGTCGTCGTCGTCGTCGTCGTCGTCGTCGTCGTCGTCGTGGTCGGTCCCCTGTCCGTCCCTCTTGGGGTCGGGTCGACGGTCCGCGGCCGCCCCGCCGATCAGCGCTGCCGCTGGCCAGGCCGACGGTCCGCGGCCGCCCCGCCGCTTGCCGGGGCCCGGCCTGCAGGGAAGAACGGTATACCCCCCAAAAGGGGTTCGATCGAAAACGAAGAGGGCGGGTATCGAGGGTTTGGGAAATACGCGTTATTGGACATTGGAGCAGATAAGGGCGAACAGTCTTAAAATGATTGTTGTTGTTGCTGTTGCTGTTGCTGTTGCTGTTGCTGCTGCTGCTGTTGTTGTTGTTGTTGTTGTTGAACTCTCATTTCGGAAGAATAATTATTGTTGGTCCCCCCCGTCTGGTGCACATTGTTTTTTCGATTGAAATGCCCTTCCCGGGGTTCGCACCCTGTTTTCGATCAAAGAAAATCTGGAAGGTCAAACTGTGTCGTTGGCCCCTGGCTTACAACAACAACGACAACGACAACGACAACGACAACAACAACAACAACAACACCAACACCAACACCAACACCAACACCAACACCAACACCAACACCAACAACAACACCAACACCAACACCAACACCAACACCAACACCAACACCAACACCAACACCAACACCAACACCAACAACAACAACAACAACAACAACAACAACAACAACAACAACAACAACAACAACAACAACAAACAACAACAACGGCTCCCGCCTGAGACGTCCTCACAATTTAGCCAGGACCCCCGCTCCCGCCCGAGACTTCCTCGCATTTTCTTCAGGAATCGCGCTCTCGCTTGGGACTTCCCTAGAATTAATAAAAGAATCGCTCTCCCGGCGCTCTGGAGTCGCGCTCTCGCTGGAGACTTGCTTGCAATTTACTATAGAATAGCGCCCTTGCGTTGGACTTTCTTGCGCTTTTCCCAAGCGCCGCGCTCCCGACACCCAGGCACCCAAGAGTCGCGCTCACGCTCAGGATTCCCTCACAGATTACCTCGGAATCGGGATCTCGCTGCCTTTCGTGGCCCCGTTGCAGCCCTTTGTGGCCCCCGTGGCCCCGTTGCAGCCCTTTGTGGCCCCCTCGCTTTGTTTCGTGGCCCCGTTGCAGCCCATCGTGGCCCCCTCGCTGCCCTTCGTGGCCCCCTCGCTTTGTTTCGTGGCCCCGTTGCAGCCCCCTCGTGGCCCCGTTGCAGCCCTTCGTGGCCCCCTCGTTGCCCTTCGTGGCCCCGTTGCAGCCCTTCGTGGCCCCTCGCTGCCCTACGTGGCCCCATATATGTATGCCCTTCGTGGCCCCGCTGTCGCCCTTCGTGGCCCCCTCGCTGCCCTTCGTGGCCACGTTGCTGCCCTCAGTGGCCCCGTTCTTGCCCTCCGCGGCCCAATATTACCGTATGCCCTTCGTGGCCCCCGCTCGTTCGCGCCGGGTTTTGGCCCCATGTGCATGCCCTTCGTGGCCCCGCTGTCGCCGTGTGTGGCCCCCTCACTGTCCTACGTGGCCCAGTTGCTACCTTCAGTGGCCCCATCGTTGCCTTCTGTGGCCCCGCATTATCTGCCTTTCGTGGCTCCCGCTCGTTCGCGCTCTTCGTGGCCCCATACGCATTCCCTTCGTGTCCCCGCTGTCACCCTTCGTGGCCTACTTCGTGTCCTTCGTGGCCCTGCTGTCGTTCTCTCTCGCTCTCGCTTTCGCTCGTCGTCGTCGCCGTCGTCGTCGCCGTCGTCGTCGTCGCCGTCGCCGTCGCCGTCGCCGTCGTCGTCGTCGTCGTGGTCGGTCCCGTGTCCGTCCCTCTGGGGGTCGGGTCGACGGTCCGCGGCCGCCCCGCCGATCAGCGCTGCCGCTGGCCAGGCCGACGGTCCGCGGCCGCCCCGCCGCTTGCCGGGGCCCGGCCTGCAGGGAAGAAAGGTATACACCCAAAAGGGGTTCGATCGAAGACGGAGAGGGCGGGTATCGAGGCTTTGGGAAATACGCGTAATTGGACACTCGAGCAGATAAGGGCGAACAACAGTCTTAAACTGATTATTATTGTTGTTGTTGTTGAACATCATTTCTTCTTAAGAATAATTCTCTTGCACAGGGTGTCTAGAGCTCCGACCACTTTATTTCGGCACCGCACCCCCCCCTTCATCATCATCATCATCATCATCATCATCATCATCATCATCATCATCATCATCATCATCATCATTATCATTATCATCATCATCATCCTCACCATCATCACCATCATAATCCCCATCATAATCACCATCATCATCATCATCATCATCATCATCATCCACATCATCATCATCATGCGCCCCCTCAGTCTCAGCGCCCTCCCGCGGCTCCAGCGCCCGCCCAGTGCCCCCTCCGCCCCGACCACTTTATTTCGGCACCGCACCCCCCCCCGCTCCGCCCCCTCCCCCGCGCCGTCTCAGCGCCCCCCCGCGGCTCCAGCGCCCGCCCAGCGCCCCCTCCGCCTCGACCGCTTTATTTCGGCACCGCACCCCCCCCCGTTCCGCCCCCTCCCCCGCGCCGTCTCAGCGCCCCCCCGCGGCTGCAGCGCCCGCCCAGTGCCTCCTCCGCCCCGACCACTTATTTCGGCACCGCACCCCCCCTCCCCGCTCCGCCGCGCCGTGCCAGACCAACTTTATTCGGACCGCACCCAGCTCCGCGCCGTCTCCCCCCGCGGCTCCAGCGCCCGCCCAGCGCCCCCTCCGCCTCGACCACTTTATTTCGGCACCGCACCCCCTCCCCCGCGCCGCCCCCTCCCCCGCGCCGTCTCAGCGCCCTCCCGCGGCTCCAGCGCCCGCCCAGTGCCTCCTCCGCCCCGACCACTTTATTTCGGCACCGCACCCCCCCTCCCCGCTCCGCCCCTTCCCCCGCGCCGTCTCAGCGCCCCCGCGCGGCTCCAGCGCCCGCCCAGTGCCCCCTCCGCCCCGACCACTTTATTTCGGCACCGCACCCTCTCCCCCGCTTCGCCCCCTCCCCCGCGCCGTCTCAGCGCCCCCCCCGCGGCTCCAGCGCCCGCCCAGTGCCCCCTCCGCCCCGACCATTTTATTTCGGCACCGCACCCTCTCCCCGTTCGCCCCCTCCCCCGCGCCGTCTCTCAGCGCCCCCCCCGCGGCGCCAGCGGCCCGCCCCAGTTGCCCCCCGCCCCGACCATTTTAATTCGGCCACCGCGCACCCCTCCCCGCTCCGCTTCCTCCCCCGCGCCGTCCCTAGCGCCCCCCCGCGGTTCCTGCGCCGCCCAGTGCCCCCTCCGCCCCGACTACTTTATTTCGGCGCCGCCCCCCCCCCCGCTCCATTTTTTTTTTTCCAGCCGCTTCCCCCGCACCGTCTGAGCGCTCCC